CTCTATGACAAGCCTATGGTACTGGGGACCTACTCTATGACAAGCCTATGGTACTGGGGACCTACTCTATGACAAGCCTATGGTACTGAGGACCTACTCTATGACAAGCCTAATACTGGGGACCTACTCTATGACAAGCCTATGGTACTGGGGAACTACTCTATGAAAAGCCTATGGTACTGGGGACCTACTCTGTGACAAGCCTATGGTACTGGGGAACTACTCTATGACCAGCCTATGGTACTGGGGACCTACTCTATGACCAGCATCAGGTACTGGGGACCTACTCTATGACAAGCCTTTGGTACTGGGGACCTACTCTATGACAAGCCTATGGTACTGGGGACCTACTCTATGACCAGCCTATGGTACTGGGGACCTACTCTATGACAAGCCTATGGTACTGGGGAACTACTCTATGACCAGCCTATGGTACTGGGGACCTACTCTATGACAAGCCTATGGTACTGGGGACCTACTCTATGACCAGCATCAGGTACTGGGGACCTACTCTATGACAAGCCTATGGTACTGGGGACCTACTCTATGACCAGCATCAGGTACTGGGGACCTACTCTATGACAAACATCAGGTACTGGGGACCTACTCTATGACAAGCCTATGGTACTGGGGACCTACTCTATGACAAGCCTATGGTGCTGGGGACCTACTCTATGACCAGCCTATGGTACTGGGGACCTACTCTATGACAAGCCTATAGTCCTGGGGACCTACTCTATGACCAGCATCAGGTACTGGGGACCTACTCTATGACAAGCCTATGGTACTGGGGACCTACTCTATGACAAGCCTATGGTACTGGGGACCTACTCTATGACCAGCATCAGGTACTGGGGACCTACTCTATGACAAGGTTATGGTACTGGGGACCTACTCTATGACAAGCATCAGGTACTGGGGACCTGCTCTATGACAAGCCTATGGTACTGGGGACCTACTCTATGACACGCATATGGTACTGGGGACCTACTCTATGACAAGCCTATGGTACTGGGGACCTACTCTATGACAAGCCTATGGTACTGGGGAACTACTCTATGACAAGCATTAGGTACTGGGGACCTACTCTATGACAAGCATCAGGTACTGGGGACCTGCTCTATGACAAGCCTATGGTACTGGGGACCTACTCTATGACAAGCCTATGGTACTGGGGACTCTATGACAAGCCTATGGTACTGGGGACCTACTCTATGACAAGCCTATGGTACTGGGGACCTACTCTATGACAAGCCTATGGTACTGGGGACCTACTCTATGACAAGCCTATGGTACTGGGGACTCTATGACAAGCCTATGGTACTGGGGACCTGCTCTATGACAAGCCTATGGTACTGGGGACTCTATGACCTGCTCTGACTTGTAAAACCAAAAAGGGTAGAGTAGAAAACACTACATTCACCATTCAAACATCACCATGGTAACATTGCTTAATCAAAACCAAAAGCTGCAATCATCTTTTGCAATCAAACTCAACTAAAAACATAAACAAAATGACGAATCTGATCATGTTTTCCCCCTATCATCTTTTACCTAACTGAATGTAACGGAAAGCATCACTTCCTTCTGTGCCTGGACAGCACTTATGGCTGGGACAAACCGATTGATTGCGGTTCACGTTACAGCTGTTCTAGTTTTTCTGTGTATGATTAAAGTTAACGATTCCATGCGGACAAGACCTAACGCCATTATCCCAAACAAACCTTCAATTACCGGAGGCGTAATGAAACAGCATGTGAATATTTACATTTATGGCAATTCCAGAAAATGTTAATCTGTCAATCCGAAAGAGAACTCTGAATCAATATGATTTGCTAAAAACTAAAAGTAAAAAAAGACTATATCCATGAGGAATTATTGTATAGCTTTGTTGAACAAAATAACAAGCAATCAATATGAAAGTGTTGGCTTGCAAACAATCTGGGGAAAAAAACATGAGAGTGAATCATGAACTAAAACGCTGCATTAGAAAATTCAAACCAAATAACAGATAAGAAATATCTAAATGTCAAAATTAATTTCAAGTGATGCTGTCAATTCCTATTGAACAGTTAAGTGCATCAAGGTGTATAAATAATCCTGAAATATTGGAGAGCTCTGAGCCAGTTTAATGCCTCTGACTATATGAAGATGGATGTGCACTCCGACAAGATATAATTTTGCAAATGATTTGTTTGTGACGGAGACATACAGAGATGGAAACCTGGAGCTGCTCATTCAGACAATCAATAAACACACGACCACTGCTTGGCAGGCTCCACAAGCTGGGAAATGACAACCAGAGTTACTTCCCTTACACTATGCAACCAGTTGACTCGCATGCACTCAGTCCACTCTTGTCTGCGAATTACACGATACCTTCATAAGCAATAGAGAAGTGATATTGCATAGATTCACTGTAAGCTGTGTAACACCAGAGCCCGCCACTTAAGAGTTTGTATGACATGACGAATGTTTCTGAACACAGATTATTCTGTGTAACACCAGATCCCGCCACTTAAGAGTTTGTATGACATGACGAATGTTTCTGAACACAGATTATTCTGTGTAACACCAGATCCCGCCACTTAAGAGTTTGTATGACATGACGAATGTTTCTGAACACAGATTATTCTGTCCTTAATGGGCAACAATGCTCCAACTCTCTCTTGCCAGCGCCGCTTTAATTAGCCCGGGTAATCACCAGACGCCAATTAGCGCCTAACACAAGTCAAACCAGTCAAGATTACAGTCCATAATAAGCAAATTTGAAAGCCATCCATATGTCAATACTTTCAAAGTTTGAGTGTTGTTGCCCAATCCTAAATTACGTACACACTTTGATTTGGGTGAGTGAGTGAGTATGGTTTTTACGTCGCTTTTAGCAATATTCCAGCAATATCACGGCAGGGCACACCAGAAATGGGCTTCACACATTGTACCCATGTCGGGTACACTTTGATTTGAAGGCAAAAGCAAACAGAATCAATTTGACCTGTTACATAGCATTCATGACCGTCGACAGTTGTGTCATGGGATATATTCAGTTCCACATGGAATTGGTTCCATGCAGAACAATACTACCAGTGTAAATGTATCGTGGAAACATCTTCCCAGTAAAAATAAATGGAAATAAATCCCCAAGAGTAAAACAGTAAAGAGGAACATTTTCACTCAAGGAACAGATACTCTTTGGCAATATCTCAACCCTAAACTGAACCCATAAAGCTTCTTGCCTGAGGGTTGGCTGAGGTCCATATTGGACTGAGACGAGTCTGTTGCAATATCAAGTAATGACTGGTCCCTATCATCTCACAGTCCAGTACAATAACTGATCCCCATAAAACCAGCTTGTAAGATCATGGCCACCGAGAGTAAACGAGTGAAGTCAGACATGCTTCTTGATATTGAAACAGAGTCGAGCGGACACAAAGTTCCCAAATAAAGCTTAAAATTGAAAAAGGTATCCATATTTCAGAGCTGAATAGAGGTGGCCGTGGGATGCTATACCTGAAAGAGAATCATAAGGGAACTGTTTTATAATGAGATCTAGTGTTTGAAAGAAGGCCTTTTGGGCTGGCGGACCAAGATGGGAAATAACATCCAGAGTTACTTCCCTTCTACTTTGCAGTTTTATGCAGCAGCTGGGGAGATTTTCAAACTCTTCTCTCACTGCAGAATTTCTGTGAGGTAGGACACAGAACCTGAAGGGTTCAGCTACTCTGTACAGTCATTCACCTCAATCCATGTCACCAAGCTTGATGCTCTAACTTTTGGTTGCACTGCGCTCAGCAGAATTCAAACTATATATTGGCAGTTGTAAATAATTGAATCTGGACCAGAAAATCCAGGGATTGATATTACAAGTGATGATCCAGGCCATTAGGGTAAGAAGACTCGCAATCAACCTAGTCACTGAGCTGACCACCCGATCCAATAAGGAAGAAAACTCCAGTGCCGTGTCTTATGCTTAAAATAAGGGAGACAACTTCTGAGCAATAGCTGATAACCTATCAGGTATTAAATCTCTCATTCCCGTCCCTGATACGGATGCAATATTTTACATGTGTCACATATTACCTGTTACAGAATCAGCCTCTCAGTCATTTACTGAGGACATCACTGTAAAAATAGCCACCAGAAAATATTATCAGCACGAATCTTAGAGAATCTGCAAAGAATTGAAAAATAACCTTATCACGCTTCCAAAGACGTTAAAAGATGGTACTTGTTTTATCCTCTTAATGCTGAACACCAGGCAAAGTAACAACAAGTACCATCGTGTAACATCTCTTGGTATGACGTGGCCGGGGATCAAACCCCTGACCTTCTGCTCTACGAACAGACGCTCTACCTAATAGACCATGCAAATTAGTCCACAGAGTGACAAACCAGCTTACAGCTTACCACCCTATTTTCCGACCCTACCCGGGTACCCGTTGTAGATATTAAGAGATAGGTACAAACTGTCCGATTTGGAAATGTTTGACCGTAGCCCTGGCAAAATGTATTTAGATACATGTGTAAAATGATCTGGTCATGAATAAACTGAAGTTTATTGCATGGAGTTTTATCTTTATTCATACATATAAAAGTCAGAAGGAATTGGTGCATTGTCAGAAAGAAATGTGAACATTAGTGACTTGTAGTGTAACCATAGAGGTCTAGATATTTTTTGTCATTAAACAATATATCACGGGTCCGGGTAGTACTGTGGGTACCCGAGTCCTACTCAGGACCCACCCGACCCGAGTACCCAGGTTATATCATTATTGTCTTCCCTGGGTGCAAATGTCTGTCAGAGGTATGCATCATTTTGGACTTAGCTCCAATATTAAAAATTGACACACCATAATAACCTGAAACTTAAAACCAACACAACAAAACATGTGCATCCCATCTTGACAAAGGGAAGTAACTCTAGAGATTACGCCTGTTGTACTGCTCCTGAAATAAATGTTTGCATGTAGCATCACATTTGACTGGTGAATCTCCCTTACCTGAGACCGATTCTTTTCCTCCAGCGCCGCCAACTGCAACTGCTGCTCCAACGTCTCCCAGTCCATCTGCGGCAGCGTCGACTCCATGTTGTACACATCAAAGTCCCCACTTTTCTCCATATCACTCCCCACAGACGGGGAACTATCTCGCTTTGACCTTCCACCTTTCACCCTGTGATTACTACCGCTGTCTTTCACTCGATGTTTCCGTGATTTGGCTGTCAACTTAGTCTTACTCCCCTCCCCGTCCATTAAATCCCGCTTTGCATCAGCTGGACTTGTCATGGCTGATTCGGTCAAATATTCCTCCACCCCGATACCTGAGCTGGCATCACTCTCGGGACTACTTTCTTTCACAAATTCTCTCCCCTTGTGAAGGTCAAACGGCAATGCATCGGCATTAATCTTTTTCAGTTCAGCAAATTCTTGAGCAAGACTCAAAATATTTATTTTGCGAGCTCGTTTGCAGTAATCAGAATCGGTTTCACCAGGTAAACGATCAATTTCCTTCTGGTTATGGCCGGGTAGAAATGAGAAATTCCCACGTTGCAATTCCTCTCGCTCAATAATCTGCACCTCGCTTTCAATATCCTTCAATGGACCTGCAATTTCTGATACATCCGACACAACGGACTCGCACTCAATATCACGCAGTTGTCTCACTGGTGATTTTTTTGCCAAGAAATTGTCAACAGTGAGAGTAGCCTCCCTTTCATTATCTTCCTGATGCTGGTTTTCTTCGGGTGTCGACAGCGTCATCACTTGCCCACAGATGGCGCTCTCGGTCTCGCTATATTCATCTTCGTCAGACTCTGAACTCGACGTTACATCCTCTTCCGGCAAGCTATGATCTAACTTCTTCTTGTTCTCATGTTTATGACGTAGCTGACCCTTCCAGGCCCGCTGTATTCTGAAATATTAGATTACCGTTCAGAACAAAGTAAATCTCACATCAAACAATTACAGTGCAATTCATGTTCAAACTTAATACATAATCTGTTTCTCCTTTTTTCTAATGATTTTTCTCCACCAATATGCTGTGATGAAGGATGCAAAACAAATGATTGTAGGAATCATATCAGGAGTGACATGAGGATTTAAACATGAAGAATTCCTTGAACAAATTTTTTTTTTTTTAAATTCAATTAAATTCAGGCCTTTTATTTTTGTTTAAATTTCAATTAGTTTGGACAGAATCTTCCATTAAATTGAAAACACAAAAGTGCAGAATAGACTGGAATGAGGATTTGAACATAAATTTCATTCTTCCAAATGTCACCAGCCATGAACATACAAAATGATAAAAATGAGTTATCTCCCTTGTATTACATTACATACCTGTACTTATCAAAATGGTTTCATAACCCAGTGGCAGTGAAGTGAAGTGAAATTGGGTTTAACGTCGCGTCCAAGATTATTGCACTTATATAGCGACGTGCATGCACGTGTATGTGTGTGTGTGGCTGCTTGTACTAGTCCGGACTGATGCCGATTTATAGTGCTAGCTCACTGAGATACCATGCCGCAGTTTAACATGAATACCCCACTCAGACACAGTATACTGACTCCGAGCCCACCAGTCCTTGTTTTAGCCCCTTAATGCCGAGCGCCAGACAGGGTAACAACAAGTACAATCTTTTAACGTCTTTTTGTATGACGCGGCCCGGGATCGAACCCTGGACCTTCCGCTCTCCGGGCGGACGCTCTACCACAAGACCACGGAGGCGGTTTAACTCAGTTGCAAAGAAGGAAGAAAAGATTGTAAACAGGTAATACTCTCATGACTTAACTATTGCATGAAGCCAAACTGATCTGCTTCAACAGGCTTTTTATTGAATTCTTTCTAAATGAATGCCATTGCATCCATTTTCAGGTGAGGTGAAATTGGGTTTAATGTCGCGTCCAAGATGATTGCACTTATATAGAGATGTGCATGCACGTGTGTGTGTGTGTGTGTGTGTGTGTGTGTGTGTGTGTGTGTGACTGCTTGTACTAGTCCAGACTGATGCCGATTTATAGTGCCAGCCCACTGAGATACCATGCCGCAGTTTAACATAAATACCCCACTCAGACACAGTACACTGACTCCGAGCCGACCAGTCCTTGTTTTAGCCCCTTAATGCCGAGCGCCAGACAGGGTAACAACAAGTACCATCTTTTAACGTCTTTTGGTATGACACGGCTGGGGATCAGCCCCGGACCTTCCGCTCTCCTGGCGGACACTCTATCACTAGACCACGGAGGCGGCCCATCCATTTTCAGTTTGGGTCCAGACACATCATCAGTGAATCACTGTGCAGGCACTGTCTCTGTATAAAAGGTTGACCAACTGTAGCCAGTGAGTTTGGTTTTCCGCAGCTTTGAAAAGTGTTTCAGGTACCGTATGTCAAGGCGTGTCAGCCTGATGATGTAGGAAAGTCTAAAGCGATGAAGATCATGGACATGTCCACATTTGAGAAAGCGGCAAGCACAGAAATGCCGCTGATAAACCAAATTCATAATGAGAGCAACATACATGTGATAAATTGTCAGAGGGTGTCAGGGACATTAAGCCCTTTCTGGGCCTTCAGTTATGGAACAAACATACAATTTGAGAGAATAATGATTTGAATTTGTCTCAACTGAATTATTTTTTTCTAAAAGGGAAAAAATTAATTACCTAGTGAAGATGTAGCATGAGGTTTGTATCTATTTACGTATTTAGATTTAAAATTATGATCAAAATCAATCGTATTGTTAGTTAAAAATTTAAAGATGTACTTGATTAACCCACAGGAATACGTAGCTATACACACACAAAGTAATTTTTATTGACATGTATCTAGCCTCGTGTGTGTTAATCTTATTGGTTGACTAATACTGTTGTATGCAAATTAGACTGCCAATCTGGGACGTCAGCTAACTATTAGCCAATCGATTTGCGTAAAATAATCACATGGAACATTCTCGCAAAATTTGACAAAGTTTGATGTATCTGTGTGGAATGATTGTTGAATCTTATGCTTGTTGTGAACAGTGAAGTGTTTATGTGGAATAATTGTTGAATCTTGTGCTTGTCGTGAACAGTGAAGTGTCTATGTGGAATAATTGTTGAATCTTATGCTTGTCGTGAACAGTGAAGTGTCTATGTGGAATAATTGTTGAATCTTATGCTTGTTGTGAACAGTGAAGTGTCTATGTGGAATAATTGTTGAATCTTATGCTTGTTGTGAACAGTGAAGTGTCTATGTGGAATAATTGTTGAATCTTATGCTTGTTGTGAACAGTGAAGTGTCTATGTGGAATATATATAATTGTTGAATCTTATGCTTGTTGTGAACAGTGAAGTGTCTATGTGGAATAATTTTTGACACCATTATGATCGCGGCTTATTTAAGTGCTAAGAGAGATAAATAAATGATGCAAGAAAATTTGTCTTTGTGTTTTAATTTTGTGCATCCCTATTCACGGTAAAATGGATTGATCCACATGCCTACTTTGTCTAACGAGCAAAGCCGTTCTTCCGGGTTGTCTAATAGCTACTGATTATCTGTAATAAAAAATTAGACGAAGCGGGTTGATACCGCCGCCAGTGACCATCAGACTCTGGCATGGATCTCCCTCCCTCCCTCCCTCCGTCCCTCCCTCGGAGATGTTCCCCTGTATTGATTTTATAACAAATTCGGGGGGGGAAACATTACATTAATGTTCAACCAACAGCACACTAACCATGCATTAATCTCAAATTATCTGTGTACACCGAGAACCAATGTCCAACTGTAGGGTTTTGTATATATGTATGTTTGCTGTGGAAAAAACTAATGATTGTTACAGAGCCGATTGGCAGAAACTTGAGTGAGATCTAGGGGAATGATCCATGCAAAATTTCCGCACCATTGCTCCTTGATACCAGAGATATACAGAGAAAGAGACATGAGGGTTAGATCAAAATTAAGTAATACTTCACTTCAGGCAAGACGCCCGACCCTGCAAACTTCATCAGGATGAAAAACATTTTTGTCAGCTTTACCTTTTAATTTGTTTATTTGTCCCCAAACCAGCATCAATACAAGGTAACACCTTCAACAAACTGGGCTGCGGTCTGGTGGTAGAGCGTCTGCCCTGAAAGTGGAAGGTCTGGGGTTCGATCCCCGGCCACGTCATACCAAAGACGTCAAAAGATGGTACTTGTTGTTACCCTGTCTGGGGTTCGTCATTAAGGGGAGTATTCATGTCAGCACTATAAAATCCATACTAGTACTAGTACTAATCCTATTAGTCTGGACGAGTACGCACCCGCACACTCCCGCCCACCCGCCCGCACGCACACTACACACACTACACACATTCTACACACACACTAAACGCAATACACACACACTACACGCAATACACACATGCATGCACGTCGCTATATAAGTGCAATAATCTTGGATGTGAAGTTAAACCCCCTTTCACCTCACATACAACAAACTGAGCCTGATTATATATACCCAGCAACATATGCACCACACAACATCAGCGGACTTTGGGTAACATGAATAGAAACAACACATTAAAACCTTCATTACTCAAAGAAAGAGTTGAAAACAACAAATTTACAAACCCGTGGGCAACAGAGAGCGCCTGATTTACATAAACAATGATGGACATCACACAACATTGGTGGACTTTGTGCAATATGAGTTGAAAACAACACATTAAATAACACTAGACAGCAGAGAGCGCCTGATTTACATAAACAATGATGGACATCAAACAACATTGGTGGACTTTGTGCAATATGAGTTGAAAACAACACATTAAATAACACTAGACAACAGAGAGCGCCTGATTTACATCAACAATGATGGACATCACACAACATTGGTGGACTTTGTGCAATATGAGTTGAAAACAACACATTAAATAACACTAGACAACAGAGAGCGCCTGATTTACATGAACACCAATGGACAACACACAACTTTAATGGACTTGATGAAGCCACACATTGAATCAGGGTTAGAAATTGGCACTAGTCCTATAGTCCTTGCCAAACTGCTGAATAGTAAAGGTATCCTAAGGACTAGTAGAATTTTGACATTTGTAAAGGTTTTGCTATATGCTATCATTATGAGGACTAGTGGACTGAAACTGTTAGTTTCTACAGCTGTGAATCAATATTGAGTCAATATGCCATCAGCCACATGAACCTAATGTTGTCACCTCCATAAGTGAGTATGGTTTTACGCCGCTTTTAGCAATATTCCAGCAATATCACCAGAAATGGGCTTCACACACCGTACCCATGTCGGGAATCGAACCCGGGGTGTTGTCACCTCAACAGTTAAGTGATGGGCAGTGTTGGACAGAATTAAATTATTTAGACATCCAACAGGAACATTGACACAGAAAATTCATGAGACAAAAACATCAGTTCTAAATAGTTTATGAAAATAGGGTAATATTACTAATAACATAATTTCCATGGTCAATGCACATACTTGAATTTACTTTCAACTTTCAATAAACAGTGAGTGAGTCAGTATGGTTTTACACCGCTTTTAGCAATATTCCAGCAATATCACGGCGGGGGACACCAGAAATGGGCTTCACACATTCTGCCTATGTCGTCTTTCAATAAACATTTGATTTCAATATTTGCAGAAGAATATTCTGTTTCAGCGTATCCTAATAACAGTTCTGATATTCTTCTGTTAATCTCTGCAACAGCAGCTAATGCACAACCCACCTGAGCTCGGAAACACAACCTCTTAAATCCTAAACGTCATAAAACTGTTAAAGCAATTAATTTGAAAGATTTAAACAAGCCAATACAAAACACCATCTCATTTGGAACTTCCACCACTATAAATACCACATCCAGCTTGTCAGCACTGACATAACGGGACACAAAGTTTCAGAACTGACTTTAAAGACTGCGAATCA